TTGTGTATGTATATATATATATATGTGTGTGTATGTTTATATATATATATATATATGTATGTTAATTGTAATTTCCTATTCCAGTTATGTAGTGGAATATATTCCTCCAGTTATCGTTGTTTGACGCGTTAATATCACACCACGGTAATATTCCAGTGTTTTTCCTTCCAATCACTGAATCACTTTTAACCACCTATCAACCATATATAGGCCATGAAGAAGCAATGATGCTCGACTGCCTTGCCACATCAAAGCCTCGACGCTTAGAGGTACCACTTCTACTGCCAGTGCACGAATTCGCGTAGCCTCCTCGGCAGACTTCTAGAACCTTGGGAACAACTCGACTTGGAACAGCTGTGCATGTTTTTTGGGTGGTTTAATCTACCAAATATAATTTAACAATGATGTTCTAAAAATGGATGACCCAAAATCACAGAAAACGAGTCGTTTGAATGGGAGAACAATGGGCCGGGGTGCCCCGATTTGGGAAACTTTCATATGGGCAATATATTGGACATACATAATTTTATGCGTGTATGCAATATGTTGGATCTGAAAGTGCGGGACAGCCCCCAATTTATAAAACTTGAGACCATCCATTTGGGGGCCCTAAAATCAGATAGATTGTTGATAGATTCAATATAAGGCCCCCTGCATCCCCTGGGAAGTTTCCGGGGGAAGATTTGCCGGGGCTACTCTTCAGCCTCTTCAGCGCCGTTGGCCCGTGGCATTCCACGTGTGGCCCCTGCAATCAACGGGGCCTCAGGGCACTACCGCGATTCTTCAGTCAGTTTGATGAAGTTTTCTTCTAGAAGTCATTGGAGTTTGGTGTTTTTGCCTCGATTTGGGGCTTGACATTATCCCAAAGCAATTTGTTTTCAGTTGAGGATGCCACAACTCTGGCCGTCGACAATGAGCGCTCAAGCCATTCAGTTTGTTTCGTGGCGGCCGCGTAAATCTTCACGATTTGGCGCCAGGGAAAAACGGCGACAGAAAGAGAAGTGCCAGGTGTTGACTGGATATTTTTATGATTTTCCATGATTTTCTCTGGGTTCTTGGCATCGAACCAACCAATCGCTTGGCCACACCCAGACACATGGGCTGTCCATAGTTATGGTCACTGAAGCCCCTCGAAAAATAGCAATAGTTGGGGAAACTGATGAACCACTGTTGGATTTAATATTACATTCGCCCATGAAGCCCTTATTAGCTGGTACAACTGCAAGATTCAAATCAGGTCAGTTAAAAAATGATTATCTCAACTAAAATTGACTTATCCATGGTCCTTCCTAATTGGAACCGTTAGCACCATTTCTTTACCAATTCGACTGCGGGTAACCCAACGACCGCGGTGAGCCAGTGAACTCATCATTGCCAGGTCCTGGGGCAGATCTCAAGCTTCAGTTGCCTGAGGTGAGGAATGTGAGGAACATCGGTGAAAAGATAAGTTAGGCTGGTCATGTGTTTTCATGTGTTTTTCATGTGGGTCATGTGTTTTGGTCGGCTTTAGGAGAGATTTCTAGTGCTCATGGGTGGTTTTCATGGATTCGCAAGTTGTTTTGACCATATTCTGCTCCCATCTGGATAGTTTTCTCGTGCGCCAGTTTTTTTCCAATCACAAACATGCAAACATGTGTAGATATTTGCAGAGTCCAAATGTCCAAGACATTCTCTACCAAACGGTTTTTGTTTGGAACGGTTTTGATACCCAGTTGGAAAGCAGCAGGGCTAATGTCCATATCGAATCTTGCTTTTTTCAACAAGAATTCTTCTCAGATTCAGGTTGGAAAACTCATCAATCAGCAATTCCATGTGGATCGATGCGACTTTCATTGACCGACATGTGGAAAACATGAAATTTTCTGGTCATGCCACCCCGATCAAGGTGAGTGGCCGCGGTGTGGTCATTTGCGCTGGAGGGCCAGGGGCGCCAGCTTCATCTTGGGAGATCATAGGAATTTGAGCAATACATGGAATATCATGGGTATGGTGGCATGAAACCAACCACTTGTAAAGATTATTTGTGGATATGGGAAATAGCCAACAATAACCAACAATATGGGATTTATTTGTTGGGATTAACTTATGTTGCGATATCAAAGGAATGATGATTAGGCTTGGGTACCTATCCGAAAATGGCCAAACTTTGGGAATTGGTGAAGTCTTATTCATCCACATGCTGGAAGAGAAAGGTGGATCGATCCATCGAAAAAACACTCCACAATTCTTGGTCTTGGCCGGCAGAGCACTGCATCTGAAAGTGGGGAAGATTTGAGCGAGGCCATACACTCAGCTGGCCTTGGTGACCATCAGGCGCGCCAGTTCGTTGTTTCGTCGAAAATGAATCTCAGACGATTCATGGGAATGATCCCAAAGAAACCGTCGACAGGCTCCTGAGGGAAGTTAGCCTGCTGCCAGTGGAAGTTTGGCATTTACCACACGAGGCGTCGTTTCTGATTCTACCTGCCTGGATGTATTTACCATCACGAATCATGTTTGAACTAGGCAGAAAGTTTGGAAGTTAGGCCATTCAACACCCAGATCACTGAACACTTCCAATCTGCGGAAGGTCGTTGAAAGTATATCCCAAGAAAGATGACCGGGACCCGCATCCACCAGGCAGAAGAACTTCAGTCAGTGGCATGGCCACAAAAGTGCCAGCTGCGGCAAGTGCCTGTGGCCACTGGGCCGATGGCGATCTGGGGTAGAAACAGCTCGCTATTTTGGGGTCGCCCTAAACGCATGACATCTATAATGGCTAATAGATGGTTTAATGATGGTTGATATGGGTTGATATATGATTATGATATGTTGTAGTATACCATATATCCCCATATTATCCTATAGTCATGGATGGTCATCAATCCATTTCAATCCCAATATGGGATGGGTTACAAGTTTTTTGGCCCATACTCGTCCCGAACATGTCATGAGCGTTCATCGTGTTTCTTATCTGTGTCACTGTATGTTGCTATCAGAATCATTACCATAGTTTTTCATTATATCATATCCTCATACTAGGTTTTCAATGGTTCTGATTATGACTGCTATTATGGCGATAGTAATTATCAGTCTTAATTTAGTGATGATGCTGATGATGATGATGATGATTACTAATATCGTGATCATCATGATCCTGAGGCCCTTCCCCGAAAACGCCCGGAGGTGTGGGCCGCGCGGACACCAAAGGCAGAGTTTATCCAAAGAAAATCGGATGGAAAATGCATCAAAATGAAGTGTTAACCCCCCAAAATGGACATTGAATTGGGGTTTGGATGGTTTTGAAGCCTCCCAACATAGTGAAAATTAGGTTTTAGACATCCAAAGTGGACAGATCTTGAAACAAAAGCTTGTAGCACGAACAAAGTAGGTTGCTTCCCGTTCATCAACCCGTTTGCGAAGTACATGTGATCGTCTCTTTTCAACCCGTATGATGGGGGCTTATCATAAATCCAATTTGTTGATCCAATATGATCAGGTAGTGCTGTTTATGCCATTCGCTGTAGGTGAAGCTCCCCCAGGGGTTGTTAAGTCATTACCATGTTTTTGTAACTGCGATAGTATCCAGTCCTACATTCCTACTTTTTACATTCAGATCCTACAAAGGAGGGTATCTACATATCTACATTATGTAGTATTCACATAGGAGTCAACATACTGACTATAACATGTTTGCAATGCATACCTCATCACTAATGATTGATGCATGATGTATACATATAATCATCTAGATACAGCTCTATGTATTGTAGATAATAGGTATTAAAACATCTATATCACACATAGGAACATCATTGAGGTCAAGCCCTTGGCACTGCTGGGCAGCCGCTTCCGGGAAGTGCTGCTACTGGATGCGGCTACTGGGAGTTGAAAGATCGGCTCTAAAATGGGACAAAATGAACCTATCATTGGGTTGATTAGTGTGGGTTGATTAGTGTGGATTATTTTGTTCAATTCCTTTTTTCAGTGATTTAGTTCTGCGTTTGTTGGATCATGTTGGATCTTCATTGGGAAGACCTGAGGATAACCTGCCGGTGCTGAACCCGGAAGACCTCTTCGATGAGCCGGGTGGCCCATGGCGAGTAACGGCGCAGGGTGAAGATGGATCACTTTGCAAAATGGAGGTTTCCGAAGTCATAGGGGTACCCCCAGTCATCATCCATTTTTGTGGCCGGATTTTTCCATAAACCATCCAGCGATAGTCATGGGCACCCCCATGACTATGGAAACCCCAATATTAAACCCATCAACCAATAGAATCCAATACCACCATGAAATGCTCCCTTAGATCCCCTGGTTCAGTGTTGGATCCATTCAAAATGTGCGGGGCATCAAAAATCATTGGGCATTCCCATCACCGTGGCTTTTCCATCAAAAATCTGTGGAAAAAAGAGAAAAACCACGAAAACATGGAGAGATTGGGCCCTGTTCAGCCACCATGTTGGGTCCCTTGGAGCGCCTGTCACCGAGGCCAAGCTACCAGGCGAATGGTGCTCTGTTCTGGCCCGACCTCTCGCCCTTCCAGGCGCGGTGACTGAGACATTCCCTTTTTTCTCTACGGAGCTAAAGATTTGATGGGTAAGTGCTTATTCGTTTTACAAGCCATGATTTCAACATATTCGATTGAAACTCATCAGACCCTTTTTCAAGAATGGGATAGCAAAAAGCACGTCCACATCCTATGGATAGTTTATCAATAGTCATTGAATCATGCCATAGGCAGCTATCCATGGCTGGATTTCGAATGGAGTTCCACCCCAAAAAGATCACGATGGATATGTTTTCAGGATGGTAGCTCGATGATGTGTTCCACATATATTCCAGCTATTCAATATAAAAGAGAATAACGTACATAGTTAGTTGTAAACCTATAGTTTGATATTATCTGAATGGGATGTTGCCAGATCATCATATATCATAACATGAAAAGCTTATGGAATATCTTTTCATATTTTCATCTATACATATCTTTGCCCTATGGTCGATACCATCATGGGATAGATGAGTCGAGTCATTGGCCGAGGAGAAGATGCCGGAGCAATGGTCGGCTTTAAGTCTGATTCCTAGCGGAGATCGGGCCAGGCAGTGGGGGTTGGAACGCCATAAACCACCACTTAATCATTAAATACCATTAACTAATCATTAACATCATGCAGCGTTAACATGTAACATCATGGAAAACCCTGGGTTGACAAGAACACAGCATCATTGTCCAGGTGGAGGAGTGTGGCAAAGCCGCCCCGAGAACATCAGGCCGCAGGAGATGTTACCGGCGGTGTTGTTTCAACACAACGAAGGAAAGATGGGGTGAAACCAATGAAACTTCCCATATTTTTTGGAGAAGTCACATCCAATTAACCAGCTGTTTGAAGCTAGGGCACCAGCGTTTTCATTCACCAACGCTTTCCATCCACTGGTTCCTCGCGCAGGTGGGAACAGGAGAGTGGGCAACTGCTGGGGCCCCTGGACTGGTTGATCGTCATGGCGATAGAATTCGGATGGTTCAGTTCATCCCATCAAGTAGATATAGATCCACAAGCTCTTGCATAAAAGACTGGATGACAAAGCAAATCCATTCTTTAGATATTCTAGATACAATTTATCCGTAGATATTGATCTAGATTATAATAGATTGATGAGCGCTGCAGGCTCGTGGACAAAGCCAAATGCGGCGCCATGCTGCAAAGGGCCGCTGGCCGAGCTGGGCCGAGCTGGGCTGGGTGCTGCCTTTGTTGCAGGGATCATGGGATCAATTTGAACATGTCATAACAGCCATAACCCCGGCCAGGTTGCAGCCAAAGTTTAGAGGTTTAGGTTTGAAAATCAGCCAAGTTGTTCCGATTCTGGAAATCAGTGGCCATAAGTATCGGAGCTGAGGAACCTTTCATGCTGAATATCTTGAGTATCTCCCACAGGATATGTAGGGCAACTGTCAATCTGTTGATAGATGTTGATAGGTTTTAGATGTTGGCAAACAATTACCCCATGTTCTTTATTTATTGATGTTCATCAATCCAAACTTGAAATTGGAATGCCAATGATACCCATGTAGCTCCAAGGCGGCGACCATGGCAATGCATTTGAGGCCATGGCTTGCACCGGAGATGATCCCCGGGAGAACCGATGGATTTCCATTTACTGGGCAAACCCCAAGGTATCTCGAGTAAATCAGCGATACATAAAGCCAGTGCCTTGGTCAACATATGTAAAGCCCATGCTGTCCTTAGGAAAATATTTATAAAGGGTGGACTTGCCATATCGTTTGTTGAAATGATTTGCTGGATGGTACACCCCACATATCTTGTTTGAAATCCTGAAATTCCCAAGTTTGCTAGTGAAACCACCATTTACTGATGGTGAAATCCATATTCCATTGTTAATCCTCTCTCTCCATGGCCGGCGAAGAGGTCCCTGTGTCGCTTCTTGCCGGGCGACGGGGGCGACAAGGATCTCTTTCAGCTGGCGGGAGCACCGCTGGGGCAGCTCTTAATGGGACATCCTGACAAAATGGCTATTAATGGGACATGATAATGGGATGTAATGGGATAATGTCCCTGGATTAATAAACCCCAAACGGCTGTTTAATTGGAAGGGTACCATAAAAAGTATCAGATGAAATGACTGTAATAAACCATGGTGTTAATTTATCCGCGGTTGACATTCATAGTTGCTATATTTCAGATTTCATGTTTTTCATCTCCTGGTAATGGCTTCACCTGGTCATCTGGGGAGCCGAAATGTATGACGCAGAATAAAACCACGGAGAATCTTTGGGGATGCCCAATGGCTATTCCAATTGGGAATGGGAATCACCAAGTAAATGATGGAATATCACCAATCAGCAGTGGTGATATAATGAGAATACAAAGAGAATATCAAGAGAATATCATGGGAACATGATGGGTATATAGTGGAGTATGGTGATATGTACCCTTTTGTTATTCAAGAGTTTGCAATGGCAGCCACACCCCATGTATAGATGATTTATGATTATTTCCTTTTAGCAGCTTTAATGGGTATTTTCCGGTTCCGCTGCATCAAATAACCAGAAGGGTAACTTATTCGAGATACAACCAATGGAGATCTACACTGAGAATAGACTGGATTCCTTGATCCAAATTCCAGGTTTTCAGGGCCCAACTCAACGCTTCAAGTCGGTGAGCTAAGTTGGTTCCGATGAGATGCAGAATCCAAATATCCAAACAGGTGGTGAAACTAAATCTCAATTTTATTCTGATCCAGACGCCAGTGCTTTTTTTATCTTTCAGTGGAAAGCCAAGTAGCTTCCAATATTTGGGGTACCGAAGGATGCAGAAGATTGATCAGTTGCATGTTTGGCTATGAACCGGTCCCAGGTAAATCCTCACAGTGGCCGTTCCATATCTGAATGTAAAGTAAGATGGATTCGCACACTATTCATATCTATTTTCCTACATATGCCCACATAATTTTTTGGTGAATTGGATCATCCCCACCGTCCACGTTGCCCCGTCACAGGCTTGGACGTTGGAGTCGCGCAGCTTTGCCATGCGCCTCGGAAACCAATCAGGAAATCAGAAGGCTTAACCAATTAGCTGTGCCCCCAATCCCTCAAATTTGGACCCAAGGCCTTGTAACATCCTGCAATCCTTGCACAGAAAAGCGAATGTAATTAACTGCACTCATGTGCTCATGTACAGGCAGAGGCCTTTCAACTACCAACGTATTACGTACACAGCATCAGAAACCAGTCAATCCGCAATCAGGACCCCGCTTTCAGTTACAGGATCCCATAATCCAATCCCACCACTTTTTCACCCATAATAATTTCATTTCAATACTATCCAGTCCGTTCTAACCCAACCCTCAAAAAAAACGCGGGAGTTGTCAGCTTATGTCTTGAATAATCCATCACTTGGGATCAACATGGATACCCAAAGAAAAATCAACGATGCCACCATCGCTTAGTTTTCACCCCACCGTTACAACTACCGTTGCAGGGCCCCTCTGCCAGCCGCTGCCGGCTGTTTGAAGCCCGACCGCGCCTCGACGGCCAGCGGAGCGTTCGTAGGCCAGGGATGGCTGCGACGCCACCTGGGAACGGTTGGGAAAAGTGGTGCTTCAACCACCAAGAAATGGGCGCCACCTGGTGGGCTTTAATGAGAATTCCAATGTACTTTTGGCCTATGAAAATTACGGAAAATCACCATGTTTGATAGCTAAATGGACCATCTATACCATTACCCAGTGCCTCAGGGATGATCATCCTCGGCATGGCTGACCATGAACCATCTATTATATTCGTCATATATCCATTGCAATCGTATGATATATCCTGTCATTGTTGCTTTCATCCTCCATTTAATCCATTGAATCCCATATAACTTGACCATGGCACATATTAAGCTAATGATTCATACAACGGACTACTACTCTACAGTGTTTGAGGTATTGCCACCATTCTCATCATTCGGAACTACCCTCCGGTTGTTTAAGTTGCTAATGAAACCCTCGTAACTAGCACACATGCTGAACACTTTGTGCCAAAAAGTCGTGGTTGATTTCAAAATAAAATGGAACTGCCATCGAAAAGACTCCATTGGGTCCTAATCACCCCTCGCCATTGCCCGCAGGTCACACCATGGTGCACCACTCCTGCGATGGCACACCATATTTTTTGCATCGAACCATCGACAAGCACGAGGAACCGCTAACCTCAAGAGCTGGTGTGTTTAATCGAGGCTCCAGCGCCCACACAAATGTCGACATTCCACTTCTCCCATCCCAAATTTCCCACTCAGCGCAGGACTTGTGGCAACTTCACTGGGAGGTCGTGGCCAAACCCAAGTTCCAGGATCCCTTAGGGGCGGGAACGTAGGGGACCATCCAGGATGTAACGTATTTGCCATCCCATTCTGGTTGCGTTAATGCCTCATTTTTGACATACACCTATTGCTTTTAGGTTGAAGCAGATATCCTGGCGGGGCTC